TGATAGAACAAAATAAAGATAATAATAACAATGTTATTGTTGTTATGTGCAATCAAGTCTGTTCTGACTCATGTTGACCTTATGTACAACAGAACAAAACTCTTCTGGGTTCTGGGCCATCCTCACAACAATTGCTATGTTTGAGTCCATTGTTGCAGCCACTGAGTCAATCCATCCCATTGAGGGCCTTCTTCCTTTTCATTGACCCTTTGCTTTACCAAGAATGTTGTCCGTTTCCAGAGACTGGTCCCTTCTGATTATCTGTCCAAAGTATGTGAGATGAAGTCTTGCCATCCACACTTCTAATGACCATACTGGCTGCATTACTTTTAGGACAAATTTGTTTTTTCTTCTGGAAGTCCATGATATATTTAATTTTCTTTGCCAACACCATAATTCAAATGCATCAGTTTCTCTGACCTTCCTTATTCATGGCCTAGTTTCCGCATACATATGATTGAAATTAGCAGGGTTTGAGTAAGGCAAACCTTAGTCCTCAAAGTGGTGTCTTTGTTTTTTAACACATTAAAGCAGTCTTTTGCAGCAGGTTTGCCCAGTGCAATACATTGATTTCTTGACTGCTGCTTCTGTGTTGATTGTGGATCCAAGTAAAAATGATATTCTTCATAGCTTCAATATTTTCTCCATTTATTATGATGTTGCTAATTAGCCCAGTTGTGAAGATTTTTGTTTTCTTTATGTTGAAGTGTAATCCATACTAAAGGCTGTAGTCTTTGATCAACATCAGTAAGTGCTTCAAGTTTTCTTCACTTTCAGCAAGGAAAGTTATGTCATTTGGCATATCCTAAATTGTGAAAGAGGCTTCCTCCAATCCTGATGCTGTATTTTTCTTCATATAATCCAATTTCTCTGATTAAATACTCAACATACAGATTAAATAAGTATGGTAAAATGATACAATCCTGATGCACACTATCATGATTTTAAACCACACAGTATCCTCTTGTTCTGTTGCAATGACTGTTTCTCAGTATATGTATAAGTTCCACATGAGCACAATTAAGTGTTCTGGAATTCCAATTCTTTGCAGTGTTATTCATATTTGTTATGATCCACACATTCGAATACCTTTGCATAGCTAATAAAACAGAGGTAAACATCTTTCTGGTATTCTCTGTTTTCAGCCAAGATCTGTATGGCATCAGCAATGATGTTCCTCATTCCACATCCTCTTCTAAATCTTGCTTTAATTTCTCCCAATTTCCTGTCAATGTACTGCTGCAACCATTTTTGAATTATCTTCAACAAAATTTTACCTGTATGTTAATGATATAGTTCAATAATTTCTGTGTTCTGTTGGATCACTTTTCTTTAGGATGAGCACAAATATGGATCTTGTCCAGTCAGTTGGCCAGGTACCTGTCTTCCAAATTTCTTGTCATAGATGAATGAGAGCTTCCAGCATTGCATACATTTGTTGAAACACTTTTATTGGTGTTCCATCAATTCCTGGAGTCTTGTCTTTTGCTGATGCTTTCAATGCAGCTTGGACTTCTTCCTTCAGTAACATCGGTTCTTGATTACATGCTACCCCCCTTGGAATAGTTGAACATCAACCAGTTCTTTTTGGTACGTTGACTCTGTGTATTCCTTCCATCCTCTTTTGATGTTTCCTGTGTTCAATGTTTTTCTCATAGAATTCAATTTTGCAACTCTAGGCTTAAATTTCTTCAGTTCTTTCACCTTGAGGAATGCTGAATGTATTCTTTCCTTTTGGATTTCTAACTCCAAGTCTTTGTACATTTCAATTACTTTATTTTGTCTCTTCATGCTGCCCTTTGAAATCTTCTCTTTAGTTCTTTTACTAAAACATTTCTTCCATTCACTTTAGATACTCTGTGTTGAAGAGCAAGTTTCAGAGTCTCTTTTGACATTCATTTTGGTCTTCTCCTTCTTCCCTGTCTTTTTAATGACATTTTGCTTTCTTCATGTGTGATGTCCTTTATACTATCCCACATCTCATCTGGTATTCAGTCACTAGTGTTCAATGCATCAGATCTGAGATGGTCTCTAAATTCAGATAGCAAATATTTAAAGTCAAGGATCCTGCTGGTGTAGTGCTAAAGGCATTTGACTGCTAAGCAGAAGTTGGTGGTTCGAACCACCAGCCACTTTGCAGAAGGAAAACTGGACAATCTACTTCTGTAAATATTTACTGCATCAGAAACCCAATGGAGGTCGCTATGAGTTGGAATTGACTCAATGGCAGTGAATTTGGTTTTGGTTTTATACTTAACATCATACTTTGGCTCTCGTGGACTTGTTTTAATTTTTTTCAGCTTAACCTGAATTTGCATATGAGCAATTGACGGTCTGATCCACAGTCAGCTCCTGGTCTTTTTTTGACTGATGATATTGGGCTTCTCCATTATCCCTTTCCCTAGATGTAGTCGATTTTATTTTTGTGTATTCCATCTAGTAAAGTTCATGTGTTATATTTTTGAAAAAAGATATTTGCAATGAGTAAGTTTTTAGTCTTGCAAATTTCTATCACATGATGTCCGGCATCATTTCTATCAATAAGGTGATATTTTCTAGCTACCAATCCTCTTTTTTGTTTCCTATTTTCACATTCCAATCTCCAAACCAAACCCACTGCCACTGAGTTGTTTATGACTCATAGTGAACCTATAGGACAGAGTAGAACTACCCCTTAGGGTTTCCAAGGCTTAAGTCTTTACAGAATTAGACTGCCTTACCTTTCTCCCACGGAGTGGCTAGGGGGGTCTAACCACCAATCTTTTCATTAGCAGCTGAATGCCTTAGCAGCTACATCATCAGATCTCATTTAAATCCAATCACCAGTAATTTTCAATTAACTTATTTACATATTTCATAAATTTCAGACTGCAGAAGTTAAAAATCTTCAATTTCTTCCTATTGGGTTTTGATGATTGATGTGTAAATTTCAATAATAGACCTATTAATTAGTCTTCCTTGTAGGCATATGGATAGTATCCTATCACTGACAGAGTTGTACTTTACAATAGATCAGAAAGTTCTTTTTGATGATGATGTAGTAACATTCCTCTTCAACTTGTCATTCTTAACATAGTGCAGCATATTATTGTCAGATTCAAAAAGGCCAGTAAGAGTCCATTTCAGCTCACTAATGCCTAGGATATCCTCATGTTATCCATTTCATTTTGATGGCTTCCAATTATCACAGATTCATACTTTGTACATTCCAGATCCCAATTATTAATGAATGCAGTGGTCTCTTCCATTTGAGTTGTGCTGCATCAGGAAATGAAGGTTCTAAAAGCATTACTCCATCCATATTATTAAGCTGTATTCTACTTTGAGGAAATAGCTCTTCCCCAGTCATATTTTGACAGCCTTCCATTGTGAGGGGCTCCTCCTCCAGCCTTGTATGAGACACTGTTGTGCTGCTATTCATAAGGTTTTTATTGCCCAGTTGTTTTAGAAGCAGATCTCCACATCCTTCTTCTCTGTCTGTCTTAGTCTGGAAGCTCTGTAGAAATCAGTCCACCATCGTTTATTCTGTTTGTATTTGTAAAAACAGTGGAATAGCTTCCAGCATCACAGCAACATACCAGCCACCACAGTAGGACAAACTGACAGGCAAATTATGGATAATAACCATCGTAATTATTATTATTCCAATTTTGTGATTTGAAATGTGTTTGCTTTTAAATAGTACTTAGATGCTGTAACCCAATGCAAAATTTATATATGGTCAATGGAATGTTTTAAATGAAAATATAGAGCCATTCTGAACAATTTAAAATTTTGCTTATATTACCAGCACACAGAATTTGTGTGGTATTTTTTACATAGTTGTGATCACACTGAATGCATAGTTTTGACTGAAGATTTAAACATATGTATTTCTCTTTAAGGGAGCTCTGGTGGTGTAGTGCCTAAGGCATTTGATTGCTAACCAGAAGGTTGGCAGTTCAAACTCACCAGTCACTCCTTGGAAGGAAGACTGGGAAATCTATTTCTGTAGTGATATCACCTCAGAAATCAAAGGAGGGGTCTTGAATTTTAATCCAACTCAACAGCAGTGAGTTTGTTTGTTTTTTTTTTTGATGATTATTTCTTTTTAAAAGTATAAACCTTCTCAAATGTAATCTATTGTCTATTAACCATCACCCCACTGTTCACCATTTTAGTTGCTTCCAAAATTTTGCTATCACAATAAAACATGTGTGATAGTTGGAGTTCTGTGTCAACTTGGCTGGACCAAAATTCTGAGTGGTTTAAGCAGTTGTGATGTGGGTTATTCCTATGAGATCTGATATATATGTTTTGAGCAACTAATATATGGAGTTTCCTTAGGGGTGTGGCCTGCTTCCAATATATTTACAGACATCCTAGGAAAAAGAGACACTCTTCTGTGGATCGGGATCCTGTTGTGTTGCCTACAACTGTTCCTGAGAGAACAAGCCACCATTCGGCCTGGTGATCTTGGATTCATCATTTGTTGGAGTCAGCAGCTGGTACACTGCTTGCCTGCCAACCTTGAGCTCCTCAGCTCCTGCAGCTGCGTGAGTCAGAAAAGCCTCCAGCTTGACGTTTGATCCAAGAACTTGGGACTTGCCTGCTTCTATAAATGGGTGAGCCATTTTCCTAAGGTAATTTTATTTTAATCTCTCTCTTTCTATAAGCTTTACTGGTTTTGTTTCTCTAGAGAACCCAGTCTAACATGACAGGCATTGACTTCTTATTCACAGTTGTTATTATTTATTTATGCAAAATTATTAACAATAGAGTTTCATAAGTGGAAATCCTGGATTAAAGTGTATGAATATTTTTTTGGGAAGTATGTTCATTGATAATATATTGCAAAAGTGGAGCATTTATTATAGATAAGCAGTATGAAACATGTTCAAGCTGATATTATCAGTAAGTTGAATAAAAACCAAAGACAACTGTAAGACAATACTAAAATGTATTCTGCTTAATATTTGGAGTTTTATTTGTTCACTTTCTTGTTCTAATTTATGTTTCAGGTTCTGAGACAAGTGAAAGCTGAAGAAATGAGACGTCATTTTACAAAAGACATCAAGTTATAGTTAGTCATCTCGGCCTCTTTTAAGCAAGTTGATAAGAGACCACTTAGTATCAAGGAGATTCAAAGTTTTTACTTTTCCTTCCTCTATTGTAAATTATGAGATTAATTTTCTCTGTTACTTATTTTTTTCTAATGCCTTGCTTTTTCTGATTACAACTTCAACACATCAGAAAATATGTTAGAGAAATATCTTTGTGATGTCATAATTTATTGGGATTAAATTTCATCGCAGATTAGCAAAAGCAGTGTAAGTTACCTCTTCCCAGAGAGAAGGATATTTTTGTTAGCTAAGTTAGTTCTGACTCATAGCAACCCTATGTCAATAGAAGAAAACACTGCCCAGTCCTGCACCTCACAATTCCTGGTATTCTTGAGCCCATCATTGCATCCACTGTGTCAATTCATTTTGTTGATGGTCTTCATCTTTATTGCTGACTTTCTCCTTTAGCAAGCATGATATCCTTCTCCAGAGACTCATCCCTTCTGACAAAATGAGCAAAGCAGGTGAGGTATAAGTCTGGTCTGACCTTTCTTACTTGTAAGAAGCATAGCTGCTCTTCTTCCAGGATGGATTTGTTCATTTTCCTCGCAGTGCATGGTATTTTCAGCATTCTTCATCAATACCACAATTCAACTTTTCTTTGGTCTTCCTTATTTATTGTCCAGTTTTCACATGAATATGAGGCAATCGAAAATACCATGGTTTGGGTTAGGTGTACCTTAGTCTTCAAAGTGACATCTTTGCTCCTTAACACTTTACAGAAGTCTTTTGTAGCACATTTGCCCAGTGCAATATGATGCCTGATTTCTTGGCTGCTGTTTCCATGGATGTTGCTTGTGGATCCAAGTAAAATGAAATCCCTGACAACTGCAGTCTTTTCTGCATTTATAATCATGTTGCTTATTGGTCCAGTTGTGTGGATTTGTATTTTCTTTATCTTGAGGTGTAATACATACTGAAGACTGTATTCTTGATTTTCATTGGTAAGTGCTTCAAGTCTTCTACACTTTCAGCAAGCAAGGGTGTGTCATCTGGATATCACATATTGCTAATGAGTCTTCCTTCAATCCTGATGCTGTGTTTTTCATATAATCCAGCTTCTTGAATTATTTGCTCAGCATACAGATTGAATAAATATGTGAAGAGATACAACCCTGATATACACCCTTCCTAATTTAAACCATGCAGTATCCTCTTGTTCTGTTAGAATGACAGCCTATGTACTCTTGGTCACAGACACAATTAAGTGTTTTTGTAATTCCTATTCTTCACAATGTTATCCATAATTTGTTATGATCCACATAGTCTAATGCCTTTGTATAGTCAATAAAACACAGGTAAACATCTTTCTGGTATTCTTTACTTTTTCAGCCAAGATCCATCTGACATCAGCAATGATATCCCTTGTCCCACATTCTCTTCTGAATCCAGGTTGAATTTCTGAAGTTCCCTGTCTATACACTGCTGCAACCATTTTTGAATTATCTTTAGCAAAATTTTATTTGCATGTGATATTAATGATAAAGTTTAATAATTTCTACATTCTGTTGGATCAGTTTTCTTTGGAATGGGCACAAACATGGATCTTTTCCAAATTTCTTGGCATAATGAGTGAACACCTGCAGTGCTGCATCCATTAGTTGAAACTTCTCCATAGGTATTCTGTCAATTCCTGGAGGCTTCTTTTTCACCACTTCCTTCAGTGCAGCTTGGACTTCAATACAATTGGTTCTTGATCATATACTACCTCCTGAAATGGTTGAACATTGATAATTCTTTTTGATACAGTGACTTTGTGTATTCCTTCCATCTTCTTTGATGCCTCCAGCATCATTCAATATTTTGTCCTTAGAATCCTTCAGTTGCAACTTGAAGCTTGAATTTTTTCTTCAGTTCTTTCAGCTTGACAAATGCTGAGCATGTTCTTTCCTTCTGTTTTCTAACTCACTGCAAGCTTCTAAAATGATGATAACACATTATAGGAGCATGTCATTTTAGAGTTTACAAAGGAACTTCACAACCAGTGTCCTACTTTGTTCTCATAAAATCCTGGTAATATAGGTAATACCATAATTAAGGAGCTCTGGTGGTGCTGCTGTTAAAGCACTCAGCTGCTAACTGAAAGGTCAGTAGTTTGAACCCACCAGCCACCCTTAGGGAGAAAGATGTGGCAGTTTGCTTCTATAAACATTTACAGCCTTGAAAACCCTATGGGACAGTTCTAATCTGTCCTATAGTGTTGCTAAGAGTCAGAATCAATTGCATGGCAATAGGTTGGGCCAGTAATTAACCACATGTTAGAGGTGAGAGTGCTGAGATTCAGAAAGTTCAAGTGATTTGCTCAACATTGTACAAACAGTAAGTCAGGGCTAAGAGTTAAACAGTCGTGTTTTCAGTACAACTGAAACCAAACTCACTGCCATCAAATCTATTCCAACTTATAGCAATTCCTACTGGGTTTCTGAGGCTGTAAATCTTTACAGAAATAGAATACTCCATCTTCCTCCCATGGAGTGGCTGGGTGGGTTTGAACTGCTAACCTTCTGGTTATCAGCCAAATGCCTTATTAATACCACCAGAGCCAAAAGAACTGAAGGAAAAATTCAAGCCTAGAGTTGTAATACTGAAGGATTTTATAGGCAAAATATTGAATGACACAGGAAGCATCAAAAGAAGAAGGAGGGAAAACACAGAGTCACTGTACCAAAAAGAATGGTCAGTGTTCAACTATTTCAGGAGGGAATATATGATCAAGAACCAATGATATTGAGGGAAGAAGTCCAAGCTGCATGGAAGGAATTGGTGAAAAACAAAGCTATAGGAATTGACAGAATGCACATTGAGATGTTTCAACGAACGGATGCATCACTGGAGGCATTTACTTGTTATACCCAGAGATCTGGAAGACAGCTACCTGGCAAATTGACTGGAAGAGATCCATATTTGTGCCCATTCCAAAGAAAGGTGATCCAAAAGAATGTGGAAATTATTGTACAATGTCATTAATATCACATACAAGTAAATTTTTTTTCAATAAAACAAGCACTATTTATTATGATGAGGTGGATTTTGTCTAATTAGTTAAGAAAATAATCAATTCTCATATAAAAGACATAAGACTGCAAAGTCACTGGTATTTTCCTAATATAATTTTATTTTCATGGTTTTAGAACTCTTTGAATTTGCCTTTAGCTCTGAAAATTCCATTTGAGTATTTGTGGAGTGCTTACTCTATTTTCATTAAACCATCACTTTTAATATATATCTATATTTCTAAACCTATATGTCTGTATTTGTGCCATTTATAAGAAAAGACTGTATGAATTCATAATAACCAACACACAGACACACACGGATGAATCAAACCTAAGATCTGTAAACTGTCTTTAAAAGTCTGTTTCCATCATTTATATGAGACTAAATGACCAAGAAGGCTTTAAAACAAAGGTAAGAATGTAAGGAAGCAAGGAAACTAGATATATGGAAATGAAACAACTAGAACAGAAATATTGAGAATGTCCACACATTTTGAAGAATATAACACATGTTACTGAACAATTTGTGAGAAATTGTTGAATGGGAATCTAAACTACTGCTAAAATACTTACATGATGACAATAACACCTTATAAGAGCAGGACATTTTAGAATTTACAAAGCAGCTTCATAACAGTGGCCTATTTGGCCCTCATAACATTCTGGTAAAATAGGTAATGCTGATAATTAAGGAGTCCTGGTAGCACAGTGGTTAAAGCATTTGGCTGCTAACCAAAAGTTGTTCAAACCCACCAGCCAACTTCAGGAGAAAGATGTGGCAGGTACAAACCTTCACCAAGAACACAATAAAATATTATTTTTAAAAAGTTTATTTCCAATTCGAAGAATGATTCACCTTATCTATGTAAAATATTCCACTTAAATCCACGAATGAGATAATTTATGTCACTGGAAACTGAGTATTATTCTTGCTGCCCTACTTCTTTTTCACAAAGTACATGGTGGTGCTTCTTTTATCAAAACATGTTTTTCAAGAATTGCAAAATTACAAAGTAAATAAAGCCTTGGGTTTAGGAAAACAATTATATTAAACTATCAAATAAGGTAATTTTGTAATCTTACCTCTGGATATACTTTTGCAATCATAGATAAGCACTGAGTATCTTTCTTTTTCAGAAAGATATGTGTCAAAGAGTGGTTCAGAAAAGCCACGAGACTGTTAAGAAATCACTGTACTTTACATGAGAAATTATTTGAAAGTAACTTCTACAACAGGTATATCTTGAAGATATTCTCTGCATTTATGCTTCTTAGTGAATTTTAGTTAACTTCTGATTTTGAGGATTGCTAACCTTAAAATCTCGGACATCAAGGAAAAAATCAAGAACTGACCTAACTCTCTTTGTCTTGATAAGATAAATATTTACACAACCTTGGATGTTTCCACAGGATTCTCCAGGCCATTTCTACAGATTACAGTTAAGGCCCAGTGACTGTGGAGGCTCTCAGTGCCCCACGAAATCACACATGGTCCCTCCCTCACACTGCAATCCTGAACATTTAGTTTGGGGCTTTGCCTGTGATTTTGTATTAAAGTTGTGACAGAGATCTAATCTATAGTCCCTTCATCTGTTTCAAATCAGGTTCATATAGCAAATATACTATTTGAACCACTAAGACAAGAAATAAATAGATGCTTTAGTTACTTACCAGAATGAACAAACAAACTTCTTTACAGTAAAGCCCATTGCATTTCAAAGCTTGAGATAACAATCAAAGGCCAATATTTAGTAATCTTAGGATCTTACTGTAACAGTCTATTTAGAAACAAAGGACTGAGGAAAAGTTCAGTTTAATATACTGTCATAATATTGAGGTTAAATTAAGTATCCAGAATAAAGGATTCAGAAAAATAATCTTGTTTCAAAAATAATATTCAGCTTATTATTTTTCTATTAGGTTGTGTTCTGTTGTTAATATCCTGTTTAAGGATTGGGTATATGG